ATCATGGGGGTTGGGGATGGCCAGGCCGCAATCCCTTCTTCTCCATTCTCATTGGGATTTTGGGCACACACGACGCACACGCACCTGGCGTGACTTTCGAGCTGTGGGATCTGGGACTCAAACTGCCGTTGACTACTTGGGAGTCCAGCGACGTAGCCATTATGCCATCTGCTGGTCCCAGTAAGTACATTTTCTTACATAACCACAATACTGTTTATCACAGCACTCTGGTTGAAATATGCCCCCTCCTTTTTTATCCCCCTCAACATTTCACGGTTTGGAATTGGAACATATTGTGAAGATCTTAAGGGGAAACCTGACCTGGTTACAGGGCTGGAAGGTGGAGCCTTTGGGAGGTGATTAGGCACCAGGGTAAGTGAGGCCGAGTCTGCCCTGAGGGTGCTCCTGCCTGCCCCACACCACCGTCAGCAAGATTACCTCTCTGGACGCTGCACCTGCACCTCGCACCTCCGAACCATGAGCTGAAGAAACCTCTACTTTTTAGAGATCAGACTTCCATTTCTGTTATTAGCAATGGACAAGAACACGGACCTAAGAAAGGTACTGCTGGGTCAGCGCCACAGTGCCATTGTAGTGCATTCTGGAGCTGGATCCTACATGGCTGGCTGCTTACTAGAACCCACCCTGGCGACCTGAAGAGGCCAGTCTCATTTCTACACTTAGTTGGGTTGCTGAGCACACATGCAAATGCACCTGGTGTGTTTGAAGCCACTGGGGCCAGGATTCAAGCCTTGCTGTCAGCCATGTGGGCTCAGGCTCCCCTGACCACCATCCCATGGGGTCAGCCCCTTCCCTATTCTTTACTCTGGATGTTCTCATTTTATTCTCCGTCTCTTGGCTCTTTTATATGTACATTCCCAGGACCGCCGTCTCAGCACAATCCCAACAGTTTAGAAGATATTTCAGAGGGCACCAGCAGCTGGCGTAATGGTTACATTGCTGGACTCTCATGTAGTTGAAATGTGGTTTGAGTCCCAGACCCGGTGGCTTGAAACTCATGCCAGGTGCGTGTGCATGCGTGCCCAAGATTGCAAGAGAACAGAGAAGGGACTGTGGCATGGCCATCCCTTGGGAGGGGTGTGTGTGATTTTTCACTGTCTCCCTGGCGAGTGCACACACACTATAGCAAAAATCTTTATTTAAATTTTTTTTTCAGGGTAATTGTGGGGGGTCTGGGTTTCTTTGTCTCACACGTAATGCACATTAGCTTCCTGATCTATCTCCTAGTTCACTAATTTCCTTCACAGTGTAATGTTTTGGGCTTTTTAAAGTTGACTTATTTCTTTCTTTTTGGAGAGGTTTTTGCTATACGGTGCGTGCGCTTGCCAGACAGAGACATAGACAGAAAGTGAGAAATCACCCCCCAGGGGGGATGGTCATGCCGCAATCCCTCCTCCTCCATTCTCCTCTCGGGATCTTGGGCACGCACGCACATGCGCCCGGCATGAGTTTTAAGCCACTGGGTATGGGACGCGAACCGTGGTCGACTACGTGGGAGTCCAGCGACATAGCCGTTAGGCTAACTGCTGTTTCCCGACTTATTTCTTGAGATAGAAACCCGTAACAGGGCACCACACCACAAGCCCCTCCCACCCCCCCACCCGCCAAGTTGCAGTAGGTGCATGCCCAGTGTGCTCAGGGAGGTGCGGACATGAACCGAGGACCCAGGTGTTCTCACTGAGCCAGCACCTGGCCCATGTTCACTGTGGGTTCTTTTGTTCCTTCTGAACTGCCAGGAGTGCATGTGCTCAGAGAGAAAGCAGGGGAAAGCACCCCACGCGGGGGTGTAGTTTTTCAAGGCACGTAATCCTCTCTTCCATTTCTGCACCCTGTCAGGATTCTAGGCATGCACGCACACGAGCCCAGCATGTTTGGTTTCTGTAATTTGCCAGAGGGCACATGCATGCTCTCACAGGAGACCGAACCTCCCTCCCCCAGTGGGAGATGGTGGCACAATTCCTTCTCGCCTCTTCCTCTGATCAGGATTGGGTATGTATGCATATACACTCAGCGCATTTTAAGCCGCCAGGTCCGGGACATGAACTGCAGTTTGGACCTGTGGGATCCACCCATGCCATCAGCCGGTCCTCTTGTGTTTTTCAAGGTGCCAGAGCTGGGATCTGAATCATGGTCAGCCCTGTGGGATCTGACTCCCTTAACTATTAAAGCATGGGGCTGGCCCTGCTGAGTTTTCAATCCCCCCCCCCTTTTTTTAAAGGTTTAATAAGTTTACGTATTTACTTGTTATTCTAGTGCTTGAAATTTGTGAGGGTATTGGGACCAGCAGTTGGCATAATGGCTATATTGCTGGACTCCGATGTAGTTGACTGCGGTTCGCTTCCCGGACCCGGTGGCTTAAACTCACATTGGGCATGTGTGCGTGCGTGCCCAAGATTCGGAGAGGAGAATGGAGGAGAAGGGATTGCGGTGTGGCCACCTCCCAACCCCCGGGGTGTGATTTCTCGCTGTCTCTCTTTGTCTTTCTGGCAAGCGCATGTGCCCTGTAGCAAAAATCTCTCAAAAAGATAAGAAAGAAAAGAATTTGTGAGGGTACAAACCTCCTGCTAAGGTTTTGTTTTGTCTACTGATTTGGACACTGGATTTTCAGTTACATTATTTCCTGAGAGAGAGAGAAAGGGAAAAGGAGCCCCCCACCCCAACAGTTTCTAGCTGTGATCTACCCTAGCACTAGTCAGTGTGTAGCATGGCACACGCATGTGCACACCCGGTACGCCGAGGAGACCTGGGTTTCTGTCTGGGTCCGGCTGCATTGGCGCTTCGGCTGACGAGTCCATGCGAGTGTGGCGTGCTTCTTCTGCAGGGACACTACGCAGCCCTGGGTAGGTACGCCTCCCTTCCCCAGGTTGCCGTCTGTGGCCTTGTATCGGCACCTTTCCAACTGGGATCTTTAGGTGCCTAGAGATTAATATATTTTACATTTAAAAGCTTTTCGTAAGATTTCATTAGGACAAGGCCAGTGGTTAATAAATCTTGCAGCTTTAAAACCCTCCATTTTATGTCTCTATGACAAGGAGGAAAACTCAAGGTACAAGTCCTGGAGTTTCCAGGGAAATGATATAATTAGAATAACCAGCTATTGCCGAAGACGTTTCAAGGCACACGTGCAAGGCCACTTAGTTCTCTTACCAACCCTACGAGGAAAGTACTGTGAAACTCACAAAGTGCGTGCACTTGCCGGAAAGATAGAGGGACAGAGACAGAAAGCGAGAAATTGCACCCCCCCAGGGGGGATGGTCACACCGCAATCCTGTCTCCATTCTCCTCTTGGGATCTTGGGCACGTGTGCACATGCACCCAGCATGACTTTAAGCTGTTGGGTCCGGGACTTGAACCACGGTCAACTATGTTGGAGTCCAATGACATAACCATTATGCCATCTGCCGGTCCTGCCAACCAGTATTTTTGTAAAGACATAAAAAAATGCTGGGGGCTGGTAAGTGGCATGGTGGTTAAAGGACTCCCACGTGATCGACCACGGTTTGAGTCTCGGACCTAGTGGCTTGCTTTCTCACTTTCTCTCTGTCTCTCTCTGATCAAACTGGAAAATAATAATGATAATAAAGTTAAATAATTCTTAAAAAAAAAAAAAGACATAAAAAATGTAACAATGCCAAGCTGCTGCAAAAGCTTCTAAGTTTACCCTCACTTAAAATTTTTTAAAAAATAGTTTGCTATAGAGTACATACACTCATGGGGACAGGAGACGGAGAGAGGCACAAGGTGAGAAATCCCCCACAGGAGGGATGGCCATGCGCAATCCCTTCTTTTCCATCCCCTTGGGATTTTGGACACACACACACACACACACACACACACACACACACACTAGTGTGTATTTCAAGCTGCCATGCTGCCAGGTCCAGGACTCAAACCACTCAGTCCACCATGTGGGACGCAGTCACCTTAATATGGGACCCAGTCACCTGTGTGTTATCTGCTGGCCCTACCCTCACTTTTTATGTCTTCATGGGCTGGTAACAAACTGTGAGGACCAACCCCACCTGCAAGCCACACTTTTGCAAAGCACTGCACTAAGCTGGCAGCCTGTTTTGGGGACTATTTGTGTTGGGAGGATGACAAGTATGGGTGATGACAAAAGTGGACAAGACACTTCTAATAATGGTGGCTTCTATGTGGAGAGCAAAAATGTTCAAAGGCAATGTAACTACGTGGTTTAAGTCACAGTGTGCCAAAGCTAGTAAGCATAAAAGGGGGAGTGGACGTTACTGATCACAGTACGGTCGAGCTTCAGACACCGAACAGCTGCTGGGTGACGAGTGGACACCACTACTTGCTTCTTCAGTCACTCGTCCTCCAAGGCACAGGATGTAAGGGCACAGTCACAAGTACCAAGCATAAGTGCTTTGAGAAATTTATTTGCATCTTGTCTTGCCTCATTGACCTGCAAGGCTGGATCACATCATTCACGGGCACGCATGCTTAGGCACCAGCGAGCAAACACTTCAACATTAGCGTCAACGATGCAGGAAGATAAAGCTGCTGAATTTATTTCAAAGGCAAATGACCGACGGGCTATTTGTACATCGTCCTCTCACTGTGGAAAGCAGGGAACTGATCACACAAGGACACAGCCTACTGGAATGAGGGTAATAAAAACCACTAACTTTGAGATTTGGAACCTTATCAAGAATGTTTTTGTATAACACAGAAACAAAAATATATTTCTCTCTGTAAGATTATTAATTTCTCAGGACTGGACTGTATGGTTTACCAAAAGTTGTGTTGGATAAATAAATGCCTGAAAGTGTCTTACAGTTACATTCATCTTAAAAGCATCTGAGTAAGTTCAAGTATGGCCACGACACTTAATATTTCAGACTTTAAACTGCACTCTTTATCACCACTGGGCAATTGTGGTTTATTGTAACCTTAATCCATTTACTCGAAACCATTCAACACATTTTCATGATTCCAGTAATTACCATGCTACCCACAAAAACAAGTGAAGAGTTTATTAAGAATTAAATGAGGGCGTGGAATGTGATACAGTACAAGTGAGACACTCGTGATGGGTATAATACTACTACTAGCACAGAGAGTTAAATTTCACTTCAAAAAAAATCACAAGACAAAGAAAAAGCAATTCCATCATTATAAAATATTTCATGCAAAGTACTAAAACCCCCCAAAACCCCCAGTCTCCCAACGAACAAAAAGCTATCTGAAAATACTGCCATGCTAAACAATAAAATCATTCATGGAAAAACAACACACTGATTAAGCATGGATTAGATGAAATCACAGTTGTACAGTATCGTAGACACGATGATTTACATGACAAGCAATCCCAGATTCACTCATGGGGTACTGCGGGCTAAGTGTTGAGAGATAAGGTGTGTAAATACAAGTCCCAGTAACTCATCCCATTAGCTTCTAATTAGAAAACCTGAAAGCCCAGAGAACCTGAAAAAGACATATAAAATTTGGCATACTCCATTTGTGTTTGAAGAAACAATTTTAGGATCACATCTGCATTTATTAGAGAGCTGTATAAAAGAACTTCAAGGTCAGCATTCGACCTTTTAAATAATAAACACAATTTACATCATAGAAACAACCCCAGATATGCAATTATTCTCATTAAGTCTTACTCAGGATGAGAAACATGATTTTCTAGCACTGTATGTACAAGTGACTGCGAAGGGCAGGTTAATTTAGAGACTGACTAAAATATAGGAGCAAAGGGGTGATTTGGTGAGAGAATGAAGGGGAACATCTTCAAGTACAAAACACTTACATGGGGAAAAATTTCTCCTTGACTTCTGAGGGAGCTAAAGTCAAACAAATAGATTGCCAAGCTGTAATGCATGTCTCTGTACCAAGATGCTTGAGCATGCTTTGTGAAAAACACAGTTCATATTAGAAAACAGTCAGGAATGGCATTTTATGGGACAGCACTTCCCTCTGTAGCTGTCAAACTGAACCAAAGCCTGGCCATCAAGTGGGTGCAGGCTGGAAGCACCTTTCTGACTGGGCACAGCTACGGAGAGGCAATGCAGGAGCCGAAAGCTCATCTCACTGCACTTGCCCATTTGGGGGCCAGGGACGACTGACACTTAAATTTCCTGATTCTGGGTCGTGTTTTTTTTTTTTTTTATTATTTTTTTTTTAACCCAAGATGCATCGAATGGCTATAAACATAACAAAAGGACCAAGGGGAAAAGAAAAAGAACAGGATTAAAAAACCTACCTACTCCCCTTTGTTAATTTTTTTCCTGGTAGATTTAAGGTAATTACCAAAGATTGGGCGATTATCCAGGATTACCTTTCCCACCTCTAAAATGTAACCTTCTATTTACATTCCATGAAAAGACTGTCCAATAGCAGGGTTTAGCCTCTTCAGGAATACCTGCTCTCCTTTTCACAGAATGACATTAGCAACTTCTCCAATGGAAACCTAGAGTTTGAGGCCAGAATGAGCTTCTTTAGCAGTCAGGACCTATCCTCGTTGGAGCTCTTTGGAATGTGTGTCTTATACATACAAAGGGATCACAAATTAAATCACCAGAGTATTCATAAAGTAAGTTCTTAAATGAGAAAGATTTCTAATGAGAGAGAAATGCTTCCATCAGCAAATCATTAGATTTGCTAAACCAATCCTTCCCAACTAAGTTTCTGCTTACAACTCAACATAGCCTCTGGAATCCAATGTAGCGATCACTCAGTCATGATGATGTAAGATGAAGCAGGATGAAGCAGTACATATGAAAAAGTTTTGTAAACCGCTGCAGTTCTAAAACAGTAGATTTATATTACAAAGCAATGTAAATAAATATTGGGCTAATACAAAAGCTCTTATTTACAGTTTTACAAATGAAATTGTATTCAGTGTAAATGCTGTGTTTTAAAGAACACAGTATTGTGTTAGTAAAATGAGTTCTGTTGAGGGCATTACAGTTTGTTAGAATCAATGCATAATGTATAAAAGGTTCAAGTTCACTCTGTTCATAATTTAGTACAGACAAACCCAGTTTAACCTGGAATGGCATCTGTTAAAGTGCTGAAAAACAGGAAATATTTAGAAAACACTGTACATTATTAAAGCTTTATCAAGTCAGAATGTTAAACCTCTTTCACATTTTTTTATCCTTGTGCCACGGGCCTATGGCAAGATGTTTTTTTCAGCAAAGGAGTAAAACTTAAGAGACCACCAGCTGTTTCGATGATTTTTCATTCAGTGAAATTACTGATAGTTTCCTAAACAACTATTTATCCATCGACCATACCTTCAGGCCTCATAATCTGGTAAGTAATTAAATATTCGGGATAAGCCTGGAAGACAAAGATTTAATTCAAATATTGGTCAGTGAATTTTCTTGAAAGATAAGTAGACTTTCCATAAGGATTCTTAATTTTTCTTTTTTAAGAGGTTTTTTGCTATAGGGCGCGTGCGCTCACCAGACAGAGAGAGACAGAGAGACAGAAAGCTAAGAAATCACCCCTTGGGGGGATTGGCTACCACAAACCCCTTCTCTTTCATTCTCCTCTTGGAATCTTTTTTTTTTTAATTTATTTATTTAATTTTATTTCAACATAGCCATTATGCTAACTGCTGGTCCCTTAATTTTTTTTTTTTTAAATTATTTATTTAATTTTATTTCAACATAGCCATTATGCTAACTGCTGGTCCCTTAATTTTTTTTTTTTTAAAGATTTTTGCTAAAGGGCATGTGAGCTCACCAGAGAGACAGAAAGCTAAGAAATCACCCCTTGGGGGGATTGGCTACCACAATCCCCTTCTCTTTCATTCTCCTCTTGGAATCTTTTTTTTTTTAAATTATTTATTTAATTTTATTCATTCATTCATTCATTTTAATTTGACCATTGAGAGACGCACAGAGAGAAGAGAAGGAAAGTGAGAAAGTATGCCACCAGGTCCGGAACTCGAACCTCGGTTGGCCACGTGGGAGTGTCCAGCACTTAACCACCACGCCACCTGCTGGTCCCTCCTCTTGGAATCTTAGGCACACCCGCTGTGAGGCTCAAGCTACTGGTCTGGGACTCAACCATGGTCAACTAAGTGGGAGTCCAGTGATGTAACCATTAAACCATCTGCTGGCCCCAGGATTCCTAATCTTCACAGAGGAGGTTCTAAGCTAATATGTGAATCAGAATCACTAGGGACATTTCCTCAAAATGTTCTTTTCTGTTTTTACATAATCCAATTGTTTAGATTCTCAGAGGTCTGTAACTAGTTGAGTACTATTAATAACTGAGAATCTAGTATTTGTAGCGCTTAGGACTAGGAGTGTTTGGGATTTTGGAATATCTGCATATATGTAGTGATGCTTGGGGGGTAGGAGTCACAGCGAACATGAAATTCTCTTATGTTTCATATTTATCTTACACGCAAAACCTGAAGGTAATTTTACAGTGTTTTCTGGATTGCAGTATGTGACTCTGTCACATGAGGTCGAGTGAAATCTACTTGTGGTGCCATGTTGGTGCTCAGAAAGTTTCAGATTCTGGAGCAAAGTGGATTTTTGGGATGCCCAACTGGTACTATGTACATGTCTGACTGCCCTTGTAACTGAGGTGATTCTGATACTGACCCCTAGTTCAGAACACTATTCTAGAACTGGCTTTAACTGGATCTTTGTCACTGAGAACTGTACACTTCTTTGCTACAGGCAGGTTATGAAACAGAGGATTCTTTATATGTCACTGAAGCAAAACTAAAAAACAACAATAAAAACCAGATCCAGTACAACTGGTAAGGTCTAAATATGGTAATTTCTGTAAGTGGAATCATGTTGTCTTCTGCATGTGTGTGTGTGTATACATACATATATATATACACACTCATATTTGTGAGTCTTTATATTCATTTTGTATAGTTATTACTTTCACTGCTGTATAATATCCCATTGTATTGTAGAAACAAGCCACAAAGAATTTGTCCATTTGTGTTTTTTCAAGTGTTTGATTTTTAGGAATAATGCTGCTAAGGATATTCTTTTCTATGTGCTTTGATGAACATAACACACATTTCTGTTGATTTAAAAAAATCTGAATATGGTCTGTAGGATAGATATTGCCTGTTATATCAGTTTTCCTGATTTTGATCATCTTAAGAGAATGCTTTATTTTAGAAGTACACGTTGAAGGGACCAGCAGGTGGCATGGTGGTTAAGGTGCTGGACATTCCCACATGGCCGACTATGGTTTGAGTCCCAGACCTGGTGGCTTGCTTTCTCACTCTCTCTCTCTCTGGCAAAATTAAAAATAAATGAATGAATAAATAATATTAAATAAATTATAAAAAAAAAAGAAAGTACATGTTGAAGTAGTCAAGAGTAAAGGAATATGCCTGCAACTTACTCTTAAACAGTTCACACAAAAAATAACGTGTGCATACACACACAGGGAGGGAGAGAGGAAATGGTAAAATGTTAACATTTGGGAAATCTGGGTAAAGATCGTAAGGGCATTCTCTTTACTACTTTGTAACTCTTTAAGTCTGAAATTATTTCTGAAAAAGTTAAAAAAAATCCAGTTTTTAAGGTGGTTTGCCTAGTCAATTTAAGAGATTAATGAGAAGTTACAGCATGGCTCCATAGCATTTTTGAAGATGAATGATGATTCTGAATTACCTGTTCTCCTCTGTAAATAACGTATTCGGCCAGTGCAAGGCCGTTAACGCTGGGCCGGCCAGTGACAGAGTGATGACCTGGCGGAGAATGTGCCATTTTCATGGCACTGAACTGTAGGAAAGACTTTCCCAAGGTTACTCGGCAGAAGAGTAACTGCCTATAATAGAAAACGGAGAAGAGCACCTTAAAGACAGAACTGACACATAAATTGGTGATTCTTATTTGTGTATGCTGTATGAAGCTTTCAACTATACCTAAACATTTACAACAGGTTTTAAAATTTTTAAGTTTTCATTAAATCACCCTTAAAAAACTGTCTGAATAGCTCTTATTTTTATTAATGAAATATGTCAATGCAGTTAATCCTTAACTATAAAACCTGAACAATGTAGTCAACTTCGAGATATGCAGACCCTACCATCTTTTTTGTATCCCAGCGAAAACACCTACCATAGGCTAAGTGGGGAGGAGGTAGAGGTCAAGGGGTTTCCATGAGGTGGCTTGCAAAGTTGCACATTTATTCAGCTAAGTCCAGTAGATTCCACCTTCAGACTACACTTGAAATCCATTCATGTCTTTTAACTTTATTACTACCACGAAGTCTAAACCACCAGGTGTGTTACCTGGACTGAAATAATGGTCCCTAACCAGTCTTCCTGTTTCTATTCTACTTCCTATCCAAACCAATTCCCATGCAAGCAACCAGTGGTTAGAACACACACACACACAAACAGATCAGACCCTGCCACTTTAATGCTTAAAATCTTTTAGAGGCTGCTCACTGTACTTAGAAGAAAACCCAAATTTCTAACAATGGCTCCAATTTTTCAAATTTCATTTTGTGTTCGTTATGCCCCAGGCATGTTCAATTTTTTTCTTCACAAAGGCCAAACTTGCCTGTCTCATGGATTCTACTCAAAAAATCTCTTCTGCCATTCAGAATGGTATCTATTTTCTCATTCTTCTGACAGCCCCTAATTTCTCTGGTGCCAGCGGAAAGGTTACTACCTAAGATAGGTCTCTCCTTACCATCAGTTTAAGTAGTCACTGCCCCAGGCATGTGACTGATCTTTCTTAGTTCTGAAGAACCTTTCAGTATTGCTTTATGTTCTTTTTATTTTCCTTGTCATTTTAGAAGAAAAGCTACATACTTTTAAATTTGTCCTTTGGAGGCTTTCACATTTTCAATGGATTTTTATTATATTAAAAACAAGTCCCTTGATAATATAGAAGTCTTGTTTTAATAAACTTATTTCCAGACAACTAAGCATTCTGTTCCAAAGAGTTTAGAAAAGGTACTAGAACACTGCTTATTATTAATAATCAGAACTGTGCACCCTTTCGACCATACATGACAAATTAAGACTAGCAGTACTTGGGCTGGCACGTGTCATGGTGGTTAAGGTGCAGGACTCATGCTGGTTAAGGTGCATGGCCAACCGCAGCTCGAGTCTGATGGCTTACTCCCCCTCCTCGTCTTTCTCTGGTCAAACAGAATAATAAATAAATAAATTAATTAATTAAATTAAATAATTCTTAAAAAAAATAAAAAGACTAGCAGTGCTCAATTTATAGACTCTCAGGAAACTACAAAATTCTCCTAACCAGTCCAAATTTATGATCTAAAATAGAAGTAGGTGGGAGGTCATACCAGGAGAACCAACTGTATTACACCTACAGAAATTTAAGTGTAGGTACAAAACAAGAAAAAAAACCGGCCCAACTGTGGTGATGCATGTTGCTAAGACTCTGTGGTTATAGGCTGGAATGATGTGGGAGGCCCATGATCAATTCCTGGTCCAACCTAAAGACCAGGCACAATGATGTGCTTCTGTAATCCAGAAACTATGGAGGCTGAAGCAGGAGTACACCAACTCCAAGCTGCCCCAGCAATAGGGTGAAACTGCGTGTAAAAAACCACCAGGCATAGCGACCATGCCTCAAGTCCTACAGTCCATGTTGTGTGGCCTGGGCTCTATCCAACAAACATGGAGCCCTTGTCTTTTTCTTTTTTTTAAACCAAACCAAGCCAAAACTAGATGAACTTTGTTTCTCTCTAGGACTTCAGTTCTTTCCCTTGACAGCCTTTGAAAATCAGCTGGGAAGCTTTGAAAAATCCTAACGCCCAGACTAATTAAATGAGAATCTTTGAGGATGGGACAGTGTTAAGTTTTTAAAGCTCCCCAGGTGATGTGCTACCAAGGTTGAGAAGCACTGCTCTAGAGTTTTTTCCAGATGAGTGATCAGAAGCACAGAACCACCTAGGAAGTTGGTAAAACTCATGTTCAAGTGACCCATCCCAGAGCTACTAAATTAGCAACTCAGGAGGACAGGCCTATGGATCTGCATTTTGTTGTTGTTGTTGTTGTTGCTGCTGCTGTTTAAAGTTTTCTACAGGGCACGGCCAGAGATAGATACAGAGAGAAGTCACTCCTGGGAGGTGTGTGGGGGGGTGACATTTGAGGGCCAGCTTCAATCTCTTCTCCATTCTTCCCTCAGGATTTTGTTCACACATGTACTTCTGAGATTTCAACTGCGCAGTTAGCAACATGGAATCCAGCTGCCTTCACCACCACACCATCTGGCTGGCCCTGGGTCTGAGTTTCTAGGCAGTTCCCCTTCATTTTTTTTTAATTGCCAGAGGGTGCAGTGGGAGAAAACATCCCCCCTAGTGGGCTGTGGTCACACCTCAATCCCTTTCCCCCATTTCTCCATCCTGTTGGAAGTTTGTATGCCTGTGTACACAAGCCCATTGTGTTTTTCAAGCCACTGAGGCTGGGACTCAACTGTGATAGGCCATGTGGGATCTGGCACCACTTAACCACTAGGCTGTGGGGTTCACATTCTAGGTAATTCTGAAGCATGCTAATGTTTGATTTATTACTGCTCTAGATCTTATGGGTAGTGCCTTAACTAGAATAACTCTCAATAATTAATCTTACTTGATTCTTCAAATAACTTATTTTGCCTATGAGAATTTTATAAATTTGGGTCAAGTTATTTGAATTTTAACAACTAAGTTAGAACAAGTAATTAGAAGTGGAAAAAATTACAAAGTAGTTATTTGAACATTATTTGCTTTCTACAGGGCTTAAAAAATTGCTAGATGGTATGTGTGGGTTGGCAGAGGGAGGGAGGGAGGAAGTGAAAAATTACTTCCCGGGGGGATAGCCACACAGCAATGCCTTGTCCATTCTCTCCGTAGGATTTTGGGCAAACACACAAGCCCAGTATGTTTCTCAAGCTATAGGATTTGGGACTTGAGCTGTACAATCAGTCTTTGGGATCCAGTTGCCTTAACCACCATGCCAAAGGCTGGCCAGATGTGTTGTAATTCTTCCAGTACTACTGTGGATTAAGATCCTATCACAGTGTAAGAGAGACTCCTTCTGGCATTGTAAAGTATTAGACTTGACAAATCATTTCAATGGCATTAGGTTGTTGGGAAAGTCATGATACATAGAAAAACAGAAAAACATGTTATGACTTCCCTGATGACTTAACAGATCTTGAAAAAGTTCTCATTCCTAAAATACTGAAGAATTACAATAAGTCTTTCATGCTCAATGTTATTTTCTAATTAGTATTCTTTAAAGTACCAGGAATTCTTTTGATTAAACGAGTTAAATAGGTAAAAGGTTAGAACTGTGCTTGGCCCATAGGCATCATTTAATAAGTATTAGCTATTATTGTAACTGTTGAGAGGGCCAGGAATAACCGATGACATGCCTTGCTGGGATTCCTAAAGTTGTCTACCACAATACCTTGTCCCAAAATGTTACAAATGCATAGCCAGTTCTTATCTGATTCTTATCAGAAAAAAAAGAGAACTAGTGATCTCTTACCTGTGGCAAATGTAACAAGATCTGTCTTTGTGTACTGGACAACCAGTACCTCCTCCAATTCCATATACATACTGATTGCTTTTGGAAGAGTTTTCAGCAAAATAAATTCCAGCTCCAAACATGCCACCTATGTATGCATGCCTTTCATCAAAGCCCTTATGGATAATTGCATTCACAAAGGGGGACCCTGAAATACACGTAGATGGGTAACAACAATTAAAATTTATCTTAGGAAAAAGCAAAAGTAAAAGCTAAAGCCTCTTAAAAGTTAAATTCTTTTTTAAAGAGATTTTTCCTATAGGGTGCATGTATTCACCAGAGAAAGAGACAGTAAGCGAGAGATCACCCCCCAGGGGGATGGCCAAACCTCAATCTCTTCTCTTCCATCCTCTTGTGATTTTGGGCATGCATGCACACGTGCCCGGCTTGAGTTGTCCCCCCCACCCCCGCCCCTGGTTTAAGTTTTAAGTCACTGGATCTGGGACTTAGACCATGGTTGACTACATGGGAGTCTAGCAAAATAACTGCTACGCCATCTGCAGGTCACCCCCCACCACCCTTTTAAAGAGAGATTTATACTATAGGGTGTGTATACTCACCAGAGAGACAGAGACACATACAGAGACAGAAAATGAGAAATCATTCCCCAGGGGGTATGGCCATGCTGCAATCCCTTTTCCTCCATTCTCCTCTCAAGATTTTGGGCACGCACACACATGGCACCTGGTTCAAGGATTTTTTTTTTTTTTTAATTTAGCTTTAATTATTAATTAAGTTGACCAGAGAGGGACAGAGTGAGAGTGCAAGAGAGAGGAAAGTGAGAAAGCAAGCCACTAGGTCCGGGATTTGAACTATGGTCAGTCATGTGGGAGTCCAGCACCCCTAACCATCACACCACCTGCTGGCCCCTGGCACAAGCTTTAAGTCACTGGGTCTGAGACTTGAACTGAGGTTGCCTACATGGGAGTGCAGTAAAGTAACCATAATGCCATCTGCTGGTCCCCCCAGAGATTAAATTCTTTTTTTAAAGAATTATTTTATTTAACTTTATTATTATAATTTGACTGGAGAGGAACAGAGTAAAGAGAGAGAGGGGAAGAGAGAAAGCAAGCCATCAGGTCCAGGACCCGAACCATGGTCAACCATGTGGAAGTCTAGTGCCCTTAGCCACCATGTCACCTGACAGTCCCGAGATTAAATTCTTAAACACATATTGCCATCACAGAGCCAAAACAAAAAGGGTAACAAGTTAACCCTTAGCCAATTCACTATTTAGAATAAAAAAGTGATACAGTCAATTAATATTTCCAATAGTTTAGATTAAAAAAAAAAAAAAACCCACAGATTTGGCACCAGCAATTGGTGTGGTAGTTAAGGCACTAGATTCCCACAGGCCGCCATGATTCGAATCCCAGACCTGGTGGCTTGAAAATAGCTGAGTGAGTGTGGATGTGTGCCCAAAATCCCGAGGGGAGTATAGAGAAGAAGAGATTGTGGCTTGGGCAAATCCCCTGGGGTGTGATTACTCACTTTCCCTCTCTTTGCCTCTGTCTCTCTCCGCTAAGTCCATGTACTCTATAATAAAAATCTTCAAAAAACAAACAACAAAAATAAACAGAAAAGAGCAAATTACTTGAAATAGCAACATGAAAGTCATCAAATTCTGGAGTATAAACTCAGAATCAAGAATCTCATGATTCAACTCATATAGCAAGGCTGGGTGCAATTTGGTCTTAGATGACAACTAATCTGTGTACTTTTTATTGGTATTAAAAGGGGCTGAAGTAGCCTTTCATATTCTTATTCTCTTCTTTATACATTGTTTTTTTTTTTTTTTTGAGAGGTTTTTGCTATAGGGCGCGTGCGCTCGCCAGAAAGACTGAGACAGACAGAGAGACAGAAAGTGAGAAATCACCCCCTAGGAGGGATGGCCACACCACAATCACTCCTCCTCCAGGGATCTTGGGCACGCACACACATGTGTCCAGTGTGAGTTTAAGCCACAGGGTCCCGGACTTGAATTGTGGTCGACTACATGGGAATCCAGCGACACAGCCATTATGCCTTCTGCTGGTCCCTATACATTTTATCTTCTGTCCTTCTACTTCTCTGCTATACAAGATTGTATGTGCAAACATGGTGCTTTTTCTCATTCCCTGCTCACTGACTTCTTTTTCCCTTGTGTTCCACATGTATGCCAACAAGAGGGACTTAGCCAAAGAAGAGGTAGTTTATGTGGGAAGAACCAGGCCAGGGGAAGTAGTGAGGGTAGGGGTTGGGAAAAGCTAAAAAATAATGCAGCTAACTGTTTTAGCAAGATCAGTGTCCCTGTTCTTAAAAGCATAAGAACACATACTGAATTCCACTTTACAGAAACATGAATGGGTGAACAGTCATTTTTTGAATTAATTTGGAAAAAGCAATACCATTTGTTATTAAAACTGAAAAAATACTCATAACTGTCAAGTTAATACATAAATATAAATACTATGCTCTGTTCCAAGAGATTTTCATGAAGTTTTCAGAATTTTGAATTGAGAAGTACCACTTTAGAATTTTGGATTGAGAAGTACCCTTAGATACTGCACAGAAATCCATTCTGTTACAGTGATCCTTCCAGGGGATTCTGAAATTTAAATATTGTGTTTCAGAGATCTCAGAAAATTTTCTTTAATCAAGGACAAATGAAGGAACAGACCAGAGCTACCACTGGTAATGTACTTGACCACTTGATAAACACTATGTTAATAGCTACACTTAATACTGCTATAATACTGAAAGACCAATTAATACCTGAAAGTTCATGGTGACATGAAAACCAGGAAATCTCGGGGACCAGCAGTTGGCATAATGGCTACGTTGCTGGACTCCCATGCAGTCGACTGTAGTTCGAGTCCTGGACCCGGTGGCTTAAACTCACGCTGGGCGCGTGCCTGTACATGCCCAAGATCTCGAGAGGAGAGTGGAGAAGGGATTGTGGTGTGGCCATTCCCCCTGGGGGGGTGATTTCTTGCTTTCTGTTTCTCTCTTTCTGGCGAGCAAATGCGCCCTATAGCAAAAATCTCTCAAAAAAACCCCAGGAAATCTCAAGAATGATATGTAAATAATACTTTCAAATAAACAAGAGTTGTCAGAAATCCCCTTAGGTTCATTGATAATGGTTTTTTATTATTATATTTTAATCTGTTAGAGGGTATGTGTGCTTGAAAAAGAGAGAGACAGAGGTGGAGAGGAGTGAGAAAGCACCCTCATCCATATGGAATCACACTGCAATCCTTCTCTATTTCAGGATTCGGGCACAATGGAACATGCATCCTGTGTATTTCTCAAGCTGCCGGGTCTCAACTGTACAGACAGTCCTGTGGGATTCAGCTGCCTTAATTGCCTCATCACTAGCTTGCTGACTGATAATGGCTTTTATAACACTGAAGTTTGGTGTGTTTTTTAATACTGAGACTCAAAGTCAGAATAGAATGTATGTGTTCTGCTGAGATTTCAGGTCTCATTTTTTTTTCTTTTTAAAAATTATTTATTTAATTTTATTTATATACTCATTTATTTTTTTGACCAGAGAGAGACACAGAGGAGGACAGAGAGAGAGGGAAAGTGAGAAAGGAAGCCACCAGGTCCGGGACTCGAACCGTGGTTGGCCATGTGGGAGCATCCAGCACCTTAACCACCGTGCCACCTGCTGGTCCCTTCAGGTCTCATTTTAATATTAATTTCCACCAACTAACAATAGCTAAAAGTGAAATAGTATCTCAGAGGCATCACAATAAGCAAAATATATATAAAGGAAAAAGAAAACATGAATAGTCAATATTCTCATTTCTATTTTTTTCTACTTGGTAATCTAATTTATAATAGACCATTCATTCTAAAAAATATAAATTCAGAGTAATTAAAATAGAAATGCAAACTTTGCAGAAATAATAAAAACGACATGAAGACTACACAGATTCATTACTTTGCATCTGATGGAAAGCTGTCCTAATGTGGAGGAAGACAGTGGAAAAGCTGAGGAAGACTCTTACCATGAAATAGCATTCTTTCATTTGCATGGTTGTGGTTTTCTTCAGACACTTCTTTTCTCCGGTGAGTGTATCGTTCCCATAGTTTCTTATTACAAACTTTCTGAATCTATAAAAAACAAACTAGAAACATCAAATCTTTAAATCTTAATAATTACCTCCTTCATCCTAACTAAATGAATGACCATATTTACCTTTCTAGATGGGAGGCAAAACCTCTCCTTTGAGATGTAAATTATGTGCTATTTTAGTCAACAAAAAATACTTTGTCCCAAACACAAACTCTGAAACATACCTATATTTTAGAGATCAGTAACTTTAAAAGGAAAAGAAATTACATATAGTCATATGTGAAGGTCAAGAATACTGTTAATTGATTAAAATACTTCCAATCTCATTAATTTAAACAACTAAAATGCCTCTGAGTCAGAGATGTTGAATTCAGTGAGTAAGTATCAGAAAGAGAATAGTCTATTTTTTCTTCCTAACATCATTATTCTTCCCTCTACCCTACAATTCCTGAATTTTTTTGTCTGGAGATTTAAAAATGGATGTTGTTCTTATTAGGGACATTTCTACAGTTAAAATGTACAATCTTAGTGCTTAGCTGTGTTTAAAAAGGTGCTATAGCCTCACCCCTTGCTGGTCCCTTGGGCTGACCTAGGAGCTGGTAGTTTTAGTCTTGGTTCAAAATAACCCAAAACAATGTCGCAGTGTAATTAAGGACCATAACTAGCACAAACAAACTTCATGTATAAAAAGGAACAAAACTATAACTGCTTTATTACTGAAAAAATTTAAACATTGCATTAAAATACCTTTATAGAGAAAAAATAAAGCATATCTTTCTCAAATCCAACTGTGCTGGAAATCAAACACATATTCTCTTTCTTGCACTTATCCTTAACAAACTTCCACACATTTTTATTAGTGCTTACAAAACAGACTTGACAAGAATTTGTCTGTAGTAAATATAATTGTTTGTTTCATTAAAAGTTACTGTATGTTGGTGAATGGAAATCCCAAGACATCATTCTAGCTATACTCACAAGGTACTCCTAGAAGTATGATCCTTTCACCTGAATAATGTATGTTCTAAATAATTTTATTTCTAATAGTATGGCTACAGAAAAATCAGTGAATAGTTTTAGTATTAATCAGCTCTAAAATATGACCTCATATGGGCTGGCCCCATAGCACAGAGCTTAAGTGCTAATGAAACCGATTTCTACATGGCCAACCAGGGGGTTCAAGTGCCAGCCCCAATGGCTTGAAAGACATGCCAAGTACACACACATGTGCCTAAGATCCTAATGGGATGGAGAATTAGAGAAAAAAGAATTATGGCATGACCAGCCCGTTGGGATGTTCTCTTTCTTTTGTGTGTCTCTCATGCCTGTGGGCATAAAAATGAAATATACAACATTATACTTGTAATAGCATATTATGAAACAATAATATGATATAGTTGGATGATCTGATACTGTTCACTCACTTTAGGAAAAAATTTGCCACATTAAAATTTTAAACTCGGGACAGGCAGATGGCATAATAATGGCTACATCACTGGACTCCCATGTAGTTGACTGCCCAAACTCCCGAGAGGAGACTGTAGAAGTGATTGTGGTGTGGCCATCCCCCCTGGGAAGTGATTTCTTGCTTTCTGTCTCTCTGTCTTTCTGGTGAGTACATGTGCCCTATAGCAAAAATCTTTCTGAAAAAAAAAAAAAAGAAAATTAAAAAAAATATATATATATTAAAAATATTTTAAAAAATTAATAAAACTGCTATGTGTTAGAACTCCAAGAAAGCTGGAGAACTCAGGATTAAAAAAAAAAAAAAAAACCCACAGTACAACTATACAGATGAAGTCTTTTCACAAGCTATGAAACAATGAAGATTTGTTACACGGTACTCCAATAATACTTTATACAAGGGGTCTTCACAAAGTTCATGAAAAACAAGTACTATGAAAACATTACGCAAGATAATTTTTTTTTCTGCAGCAAAATAAACTTATTTGTGATCCCATTTTCCCTTCACTTTTTGAAGTTCCCTTGTATGTTTAAGGTCCTAAACAAACAGGATTTATCATTACCCAAAGAGAAAGTATATCATACACTTGATTTCGCTTAACAAGAGCTGAAATATTACTGATTATTAAAAATAGTACAGGAATTTTGACCTTTCAAGGATATATTCTTCCCCAAAACAGTCACTGATGCCATGTCAAAGACTTACTAGCCTAGATAGGTCATTATATTCTTCTGAAAGTTACTTATGGCTTTGAAAACTATAGTTTCATGAAACTTCATTTCTACCTAGTTCATTACCTTGAGAATATTGTATCTGTTGAAGATTCCTCCCGCATGACCTCCGTCTCTGTGCTCTCGAACTGTACTTTGCATCTGATGGAAAAATAATTTGAAATATATGTGTATGAGTTTTTATGTCTTTTCTGATTTGGGGAACATGATTGAATCATCTGATTCTATTTTTCAGAATACAAAATTGGGGGATCAACAGTTGGTATAATGGCTATGTCGCTGGACTCCCATGTAGTAGACGGTGGTTCGAGTCTTGGACCCAGTGGCTTAAACTCATGCCAGGCGCGTGTGCGTGCGTGCGTGTCTAAGATCCTGAGAGGAGAATGGAGGAGAAGGGAATACGGTGTGGCCATCCCCCCGGAAGGTGATTTCTCACTTTCTGTCTGTCTTCCTGGCGAGCGCAAGCACCCTATAGCAAAAAAGTCTCTCAAAAAAAAAAAAAAACCAAAAAAAGAATACATTTTTATTAAAGGATATGAGTTCTGTATATTCATGAGAGCTACGTTCTAGAAATAGCAATGAAAAAATTTTGTGAAAATCATGTTATGCAATCTGAAGGAAGAAAAAGAAACAAGAGTACACAAGGTGAGGCAAACATATAACCTAACTACTTGATATATTAAAAAACAAAACAATAATATATTTGTTATTTATTCTGGCCCAATAAAGCACAATGTGTGTGTAATTGAGAGTTGGCAGAACTAGGTCTTACTCAACTTTGTCTGTACTCAACTCATATATGTAGAGTACCTGTCTTCAAAGTGTAAAAAGGGCACTATTAAAGATTTCAGCAGATCTAAGACCTCTTAGAAAGGTGAGAAGAAAATTTTTCTGAATTAGTAGTATCTACATGTTCTTGGTCCTGTCTGAGATATTAGGCTTTACAATTGCCTTCATGAAAATTAGCATTTCCTTTCAAACAATAGCAACCTTTTTTTCCCAGAAGAATTCTGCATTAGTATTAATTGTGCTAAACCATGTAACTATTGTAATAAGGTTTATTTAGGGAAAGTACCTTAAATCTTAAATGCAGAAAGTTTTGAAAGTTTTCCTGGTGGTAAAGAGGAACAATTTCAAAACCATAGTATATGTTCAAATAGGTCTGGAAACGGCCAAGAAATTCAGCAAGTGAACCAACAATACATGCAGCTGATCTCTCTTGTCTAATTATTGAAGGTGTACAAACATACCTCTTCCTCCACAGACTGAAACTCCTTATCATCAGGAGACAGATCTATGAGAATTGTTCCACTACCAGCAGTGTTCAAAGTTAGGTAGGGGTTAAGACCTACAAAATGAAATTTGAAAGTAAAAGGACATTAACCACTAAAAAAATGAACATCAACAACCTCATTTATCTGATGCTCACTAGCAATTTGAAAAACTTCACTGAAATACTTTAGATTTATGGGAAGATTGAAAGTACAGAGGAGTTCCTGCATGCCCGTTACCCTCTTTCCTCTGATTACATTATATATAACCATAGCACATTGGTAAGCACAGACTACCAAATTATAAGGGTTTAAGTCAGAAAATCTTTCTCTTTATTTCCTATTCTTAGTGAGTCTTCTTCAAATAACTTCCTTTACTAACTCTAAAGCTTTTTCAGCATTTAATCCCTTTATTATTTTTTTTTAAATCTGAGGAAGAATTATGACAGACTTGTACTCTCTTGGGCAATTTAAAATCTTCCTAGAATGAGAAGTCCACGAATTTTACTACCTACCTACCAACCAATGTCTATTCTGATCCCTAGTAGATTCTTTACTTCAGCAATAAATGTCCAGATGCTAATGGTCAAGACAATAATATATGAGGGTGTCTTTGAAAAGTTCATGGAAAATGTTTATTATGAAAAAACTATGCATAAATTTGAAAATTTTTCTTGTACTGGGAACCAGCAGTTAGCGTAATGGCTATGTCGCTGGACTCCCATGTAGTCGACCGCGGTTCGCGTCTCGGACCCGGTGGCTTAAATCTCACGCCGGGCGCGTGTGCGTGCGTGCCCAAGATCCCGAGAGGAGAATGGAGGAGAAGGGATTGCGGCGTGACCATCCCCCCTGGGGGGTGATTTCTCGCTTTCTGTCTCTATGTCTCTGTCTGTCTGGCGAGCGCACGCGCCCTATAGCGAAAACCTCTCCAAAAAAAAAAAAAAAAAAATTTTTCTTGTACCGAAATGAATGTTAATTCCACAAACTTTTTTCAAAGTATCCTAATTTTTATCTTTGCTGTCATAAAGCCTTTTTAAAATGGAATTCCGCACAGAATTTTCTCATTTCTTTTAAAAGGCAAGGTCATGCCCTGTCACACTCCTTCTGCCTCAGCCTCCAGAGTAGCTGAGACTACAGGCATTCTCCACTGTGCCTGGCCTTTAGGGCAGGCTAGGAAGTGAACCTGGGCCTCCGTGTGGTCTTCCTCATGAAACAGCAGTGTCTTGCAAGTGTGGGCCACTAACTGCTGAGACAGAATGTTCTAATCTCTTTAGCATATTTGTAAAACAACTCTCTCCTTTAATCTCATAAGATCTCCAAAGCTACACTGTTTTCCAAGGTAAGAGTCAAATCCTTTATCCCTGGATCAGTGCATGGAAGTTTGCTCTGGAGATAAAGAGCACCATTCTGGTTCTGAGCTATAGGCTGAAAAACAAGACTAACTGCAACATGCCAGACTCTGATAAGGGTGTTCAGGAATGGAGAGCACGCACAGAGAATATTTTACAGAATAAAGACCGCTTGACTAAGGCATCTGGAATCTACCTGAGAAGAGGGTTATCAGCTCCGAAAGGTCAGTACTAATAGTCTACTGACTTGATGCACTGAATGACAGGTAAGGCTGTTACATCAGCAGGAGAGGACTGCTAGACCATCACAGGGAGACACTGGCCCACTTTCCAAATCACGTATAGGTAAGCACTGAATCCTACCTTCAAATGAAGATGAGGAAGGTGGTAACTATGCAGGAAACGATGCTGATGTGTTAGATCACACAGAGCCATCCTATTTTATGACCACGTTTCTCTTCCACACAGGACTGAACACTCCTCCCCCTATTGTAGCATGATGTAGCAGACTAACCACAGGACAAGAGGGGACATGGAGTACCTCTGCCATTGGAGGCGTTTTACCTATCTCATCACTGTTTCCAAAACCTTCTAATGCAGTCCTAATAACCACACTGTATTTAGCTTTCCTTTTTTATCCTCTATCTTAAAAGACCCTGCAGGGAGCACCTTAAAGTAGACACAGTCTTTGTGACAGCTCTAAGGAAGACACAATCCACTGCTGGGCGGCACAAATACTAGAGTGTTAGCCAGAGGCCAGGAGAGACTTGTTTAGGTGCTCCGCAGCTTCAGTTACTAATACAAACCACTGGCTTTACCTCTCCTATAAAAGAATGAGCACAGAATGGCTCGAGGCCAGGGTGATTTCCATCAGAGACCCCTGTTCCAGTGCTTTTTTTTGTCTCTCTTTTCTTAATCCACAACTCACTTCCCCTTAGGGCATTCCATCTCTTTGCTTCTGTGCAGAGCCAAGAGGCCTGTTAAGACATCATAATTGCTATTGCACCAGGTCAGGATTATTCTAGAAGAGTCACAACTGCAGCGCAAAACTGAAGGTTTTATTTCTTCTTTGCTTTTTTTCTTGTTACTACTGTATAATAATATTTCAGGGTCAAGGATATCCCCCTATCTTAAATCATTTTGTTACCTATACTAGAAATAGCGAAGATTACCTCACACTTGAAACATTCTGTGCTAGTCCCTACCAGACAAGTACCAAGCATCTACCCTTAGTTGATCTTACTGCAGAATGCCATTTAACGCATTCCTAAGCTTGGATCATCTGTAGTTTTAGAGGTGCTCTTGTTTCTTCGAGATATAGACCCTATCCCTGCAAACATACATTTTCCTCTGAAAATTCCTTCCCTTTTGCAACCTACATCCCAGTTTCATAGCTATGACTTCAATCACAGGATGCTTTTGACCCTAGGATAAACAAACCTCTCAGTTTAAAAATAAAATTAAAATTTTGTTTTGGACACTGAGAGTAACTCAGTTCACCTGTTTATACTCAGACTTGCTACAGAGGATGTGTTAACTTCAGTTGAATTTAGTTTGCCTTTTCTTTAACCAAAATTAAGGAGAAGTAAAATATTATTCAACCTTTGCTTTATTTACTTTACTATAAGCTATAACAGTTTCCCAATATTTTCATGCCATGTACTTAGAAGACTAGCTATAAAAGATTTACTACATTACTTTATGGGCTGACTTGAATGTCTAGTCATTATATATCCTATTACCATAAGAAATGAGATACCCAAATTGCAGGTCTTCTAGAATCATAAAATTCTAAAGCTAAAATAACTTCACAATCATCTCATCCAAGTTCCCAATTTTTGGGAGCTAAGGCAATTCTCATTTTTTTCAAATGGCCTGGAAATTTTACTAAGTTAACAACAACAGCTCAGGAAGTTAAAACTGCAGCAGAGCTAAGACTTAATTCCAGGTTCTCTGAATCCTAATTAGTGTTCTTCCTACTAAACAGATACTCTTGTACAGATTTTTAAATGATCATTTAATACCCTGAGAGTTGCCTTTACGTGAGCTGTTATACTAATTACAACTTTAAGTAAAATGAAATACCTTGTTGTCCAGAGATAAGTCTCTCGACTCCTTTAATCAGTTTGTGTCTATGTCCATAAGCATTGATTCCAATCTCCTTCAGCTCCTTGTGCCCCATCTCAACTAATACATCCAAAGTGATCTTATAAAAGAGAATGAAAACTATTTAGAATGTATTCAATAATATATTAAGATTCATACACTTCATATATTTTGAAAACAAACCAGTTGTTAGGTTGAGATGAAAAACCCCAATAAATGAGAGCCAGTAGGTAGTTAAGGTGCTGTACTCCAATGTGGCCAACCATGGTTCGAGTCCTAGACATGGTGGCTTACAAACCAAAGAGAACACATGTGCATGCATGCCTAAAATCCTGAGATGAGAGTGGAGAAGGGGGGATTGCGGTGTGGCCAGCCCCCATGGGGTGTGAGTGTGTGTATTTCTCACTTCCCCCTCCTCCCTCTCTTGCCAGTGAATGCATGTGCCCTCCTGGCAAAAACAAAACAACACTCCCAGTAAATGCATTGTGACAGAGTACTTTCAACTAGGATTGCCTACAGAAGTTCCAATATATGGCTAGCGATCCATATGTGTTCCCAGAGCTGTTTGCAAAAAGTAGGCTTAGAGTGGGTGAAAGCAGACATAACATAACTGAACAAAGCGTAAGAATAATTTACTTTGAGGACTGAAAAAGCCAAACTTATCATTCAAGAAAGCTACTTTACTATTATTACTACAAGAAAGCCGGTTTTATGTGATAATAAACTACATGGAAATTTCAAGATCATGCCAAATTAGAAGAGTGATTCTAGTTTCTTAAACAATATTTTCCTTAATAGCTTACATGATTCAGGGCATTTCAAGACTATCCCAAATTTTCTATAAAACACTAAACTAATAATCCATCTACTCACCTGTTCTCTTTCAAATATATCCATTAGGTGCTCAAGTCCAAGATTTCTTACAAACTGAGTTATGCTAAAATCTACTCCAGGTACTGAAAAATAAAAAAATTCAGAACAAAATTTCACACCAGAAATTAATTTAGTTTTACCTTATAATAATAAATTTTTATGATGTCACTGTATACAGGTTGAACATCCCTAATTTGAAAACCCAAAATCTGGGCTACTCCAAAATCCAAAACTTTCTGAGAGCCAACATGATTCCCTAAGTGGAAAATCACCACTGCATCTCATATGATAGGTCACAAGTGAAAAGTACATGTATATTTGTGTGTGTGTATATATATGCATGTATATATATGTGCGTGTACACATATCAAGACAGACAGACAGACAGACACACACATACACACACACACACACAAATATTCCAAAATCCAAAAAACCCCAAAGCTGAAACATCTGTGTTCCCAAATATTTCAGATAAGGATACTCAACCTGTATATGAAGAAAATAAAGATCAAGCAAAATATTAATTGCTACTTAGGATATAATACTGACTATACCATTAAAAAGTAATGGAGAAAAAGGTATAAAATTTCAACAGTTGAAAATTTAACCAATGAGAACACTCTCAGGTTAAATGTATCTCTAAAATTAGTTTTCCCATCTTTTTTTTTTTTTGGAGAGATTTTCACTGTAGGGCGCATGCGCTCGCCAGACAGACAGAGAGAGACATAGAGACAGAAAGCGAGAAATCACCCCCCAGGGGGGATGGTCACGCCGCAATCCCTTCTCCTCCATTCTCCTCTCGGGATCTTGGGCATGCACGCACACGCGCCCGGCGTGAGTTTTTTAAGCCACCGGGTCCGGGACACGAACCGTGGTCGACTACGTGGGAGTCCAGCGACATAGCCATTACGTTAACTGCTGGTTCCCAGTTTTCCCATCTTTTGAGGTCTAAGGTACTTCACAAAAAAGTTTATGAAAACAAGTCCCACGCTGTTTCATACAGGGAGAAAGAGTCACACAGAATTCTGACAAAGACTATGTGAGCACAAGACTCAGCAACTCTCACCTTGGAAGGAGAAAGTTTCATTAGGAATGCTATTAATAACATAAAGAAAATAGGAAAAGGCTAAAACTTTTAGGTAATGTTAATTTGACAGTAATAGTTACAAATACTGATAGTTATCATTTAACGTTTAAAAAAATGACTTTTTCTCATCACAAATACGAGACTTCAGTATCAGTTAGAAAGGTAAATTTTGCAGAATGTCTCACCCTCCTTTTTCTCCAAACTGGTAGCACCCTCTGTTCCACTTGAACTAACCACTGAAGACAGTTCAGAAAAGCTCCCAGATAAGTTGTCAAGACTGCTGGCTGCAGAAAGGCTGGATGGGCTGGATGGTCCTGAAGACAGAGCATCTGCAGTAGCTCCTGGGCTTCTCACACCATTGAGCACTTGAGGTTTGTAACATGAAGGCAGAGCGGAAGGGGGCATGGCTGCTGTCAGAAGAGCACTGACATCATCTGCCTAGGTATGTGTTAGGGAGAGGTGAGATCTGCCGTAAGTTAAGTTTTAAAACTCTATTACACCAAGTAAAAGTATGACCTCCCCAAATGACCCAGCAAATGTGCACTAGAATTATCATCACAGACAAATGGTATTTCAGGGACCAGCAGTTGGTGTAACGGATATGTCGCTGGACTCTCATGTAATTAATCCCTATTCGAGTCCTGGACCCGGTGGCTTAAACTTAGGCTAGGCGTGTGTGCGTGCGTGCCTAAGATCCTGAGAGGAGAATGGAGGAGAAGGGATTGTGGCGTGGCCATCCCTCTTGGGGGGTGATTTCTCACTTCCTGTCTCTCTGTCTCTTTCTGGTGAGCACATGCACCCTATAGCAAAAACCTCTCTCAAAAAAAAAAAAAAAAAAAAAAAGGTATTTCAGAATGTGAAGCAAACTGGTTGATGTTCCACTACACTGTTATTAATCTCTTCTAAATCACATATATTTAAAATAAAACTGTTAAATGTGGCAAAGCAGGAATAAACTCCCAACTTGGCAAATAGCCCTGAAATGGATTATAGAAACATTAATTTAAAAAAACAAGAGTGAGCCAGCAGGTGGTGTGGAAATTAAGGCAGTTGGATCCCATATAGCCAAATGCGTAGTCCGTGTCTTAGACCCAGGGGATTGAAAATCATGCTGGGTCCATGTGTGTGCATGCCTAAAATCCCTAGAGGAGAACGGAGAAGGGACTGCAGTATAGCCATCCCCCCGAGGGATGATTTTGCACATTCCTTCTCTTTCTGTCTGTCTCTTGTGTGCATGTGTTCTGTGGCAAACTTAAATGGAAAAAAGTCCTCGAATTTACTGGTATACTAATTTTTAAATCAGTGACATATATCTATCTTTTTTTTTTTAATTGTCAAAGGGCACATGTGCTCTCCAGAGAGAAAGAAATAGAGCGAGCGGGTGAGCAAGCAAGCGCACTGTAATGGGAGGGAGGGTCATGCTACATACAATGCCCTCTCCTCCATTTCTCCATAGTGCTGGGGTTTGGGGCATACACACATGCACTCCTAATAGTTTTCAAACCACTGTGGCTGGAATTTGAACTGCAGTGGGTCATGTGGGATCTGGCTCCCTTATTCACTAGGCTATCGGACTGGCTCTATCATTCTTTCATAATACTCAATTAAGAACCTAAGTAATTACAGGCCAACAGGTGGTGTGGTGGTTAAAGTTGCTGGATTCCCACATGGCCGATTGCAGTTCGAGTCCCAGACCTGGTGGCTTGCTTTCTTGCTTTACCTTTCTCTCTCTCTCTCTCTCTCTGGTCAAATTAAAAATAATGGTAATAATAACAAATGGAATTAAATAATTCTTTTTAAAAAAGATACTAAGTAATTAAATTCAGCAAAGAGTAAATCAGTACTTGTTCTCATAGTAGTTATGTATATTTCCTTTTTTTAAAAAAGGAATTATTTTATTTAACTTCATGTATGTATGTATGGATTTTTAATTTGAACAGAGAGACAGAGAGAGCGAAAGAAGAAAAGTGAGAAAGCAAGCCTCCAGGTCCAGGACTTGAACCGTGGTTAGACTATGTGGGAGTCCAGCGCCCTTAACCACCATGCCACCTGCCAGCCCTAGTCTTTCCCCTAGTCTATGCATTCCCATGGGACTCAGAGTTTGCATGTAACATATGTTCATAATAATGGTACCATTTATTGGGTGCTTTTTATGTACTTGATTACAGGCATGAACTTTGAGTACATTACCCTGTTTAATTCATATTAACCAGATTTTCTCTCTCTTTTCCTCCACTGCTTGGTTAATGTATGCAGTGGCAGAGGCAAGAGAGGCACCATGTCATGGTGGCCAGTGTGGGTGGAAACTATAACAGAGGCTCTTACACAAGCTCCAGTAGGAGGGGAAGAAAACAGGACCTCCAGAAAACTGGAGTAACAGGTTTGTTTCATGAACAGTTCTGTGGAGTAAACAACAAGAACTCTGGGATGAGGCAGTGTGGGAGGGAAGGTCCGGGATCTCTACTCTGACGGGCTGTACCCCGAGGGCAGTATTCTAGCTGGGAAAGTGGAAAAGTTCCTCAGACCCTGGTCTGTGCTTCCCTGCACTGTATGCACCCTAATAGCACTCACTAAAGGGCTGGGACTGCTTTGTCAGCTTACATTAAGTAGTTATGCCGTGTACTTCTTTTTTCTGTCTCCAAGTACTCATTATATAACTAAAACGACTGATAATTCTATTATTTACTGACCTTTTAATACCAAAGAAGTTCTAAATTTAAGATTAGAGTAAAAAACCAGGTTTAGCCACATTCACCATGAAGACATTTTATGTACATCAAACGAATTTTACAAAACCAGGAGAGCAAAGCATTGAGATTTTTCAGGGAGCCCATCACTTACTGAAACTAAATCTAAAGGAGTTTGTCCTTCCTGATTTTTAAGAGTAGGATCAGCTCCGTGGGCCAACAGTAAAGCACAAAGCTGTGTCCGTCCCTTTTGGGCTGCTTCATGTAAAGGTGTGAAAGCCCATTTGTCCGTGGCATTGACACATGCATTATACTTTATTAGTAAGGCTGCTACATCTACATGCTGTAAAAGAAAACACTCCTGTTACAGTCTGAAATATTACTTTATCACACTTGAGTTCTTAAGAAGAAACCAGCTATGTACCTACTTTCACATTTTCAAACTTCATCTGAAAACAAAAACTGTTTCTCTTTAGTATCATAATTATGGATAGCAGACTAGAAAATTACAATGCACATTTCAATAATTAGATAAACTATCTAGAAAACACCTGACTTATGAACAGCAGGAAACTAAACTAACATAACATTAATGTTTTCTAATGTATTCAAATATTATAACCCTGAACATCAATTTATAAACTAGTAGCCTTCTTCATGTATTCAAACTACACCCCTAAAGATGGTCTCCACTGACTATGATAGTCATGGTTGCTGTAAGCCAGGAACAATGTATATGAACCTCTACAGATCCCAGCAAAACCCAATTGGTTTTCTGAGTAAAACAAAATGATCAGTATCTCACTGAAAATAAGATAGGTGCTAAGAAAGGTAAAAAAACGAATGACAGAAGTATGCTTCAAGTCATTCATGAAATTTACACTAAATGTAGAACTGAAACCTCGAAGTTATTTAACTTCCTTAGCTCTCATGTTTAAAAAGCCATACTAAATTCCACTTGAATTACAGTACTGATTTTCATTCTAAAAATGCCACAGACTAAGAATGGTTACACAGAACTTACCCCATACGACGCTGCGTTGTGCAAGGGGATAAGTCCTCCTTTATCCTGAGCATTCACATCAGCTCCATGTTGTAACAAATACTCTGCAACTTCTAAATTATTATAACCAGCTAATTAAAAAAGAAGAAAAATTACTTTCACTTGTTAATATTTAAAAGTCACATATATGTATGTATCTTTATGTATTTGGAAAGCAGAGAGATTACTGGGGAAAAAAAAGAGATTTAACCTAAATCTGAAATTCTCCACTGGAGTCTATCAAAATCTTATTTGCTGAAAAAAAATTTCCCACTGGCCTTAAATTGGACTCTTTTAGTAATGGTATCTTTTGGTTTCAGAATCTACCCAAATTCTACTGAATGATTTGCCTGCATCTTTCCTTTTAAAAGCCTCCTCCTAAAGTCCCTGCCTTCCCGGTTGTGACATACCCCTTCTTTAATTCAGGTGCGTGGTCTCAAAGGCTGAAAGTCAAAGGCATCCACAAATTTAAAAGCCCAGGTAGGACCCACGTGTCTGCTGAGCAGGAACAATACACGGCAGGGGGTCTCAGGGCTCTTTCCC